TTGTGCAGCGAGCTCCTTTGAAGCAAGTTTTTTCTGGACCACCCTTGTAGTGCTTGCAGATGTCCATCTCATCTCGGTTGTGGTAACCCTGGAAGATAGCTGGTTGGTTACTAATATTATAAATGTGAAAGTTTAGATAATAGGATAATTGTTGGAATGTATGGAACGGCTAAATTGATGAAATTTAGCACAGATGTTGGACATAGATTAGGAAAAAAAATAGGCTATTAATTTTTTTAATTCCGCGCGAAATGTTTCGCGGGCAAAAACTATTTTTATTTTAAATAAGTCTTAATTCAAAATAAAAAATGAGCCTAGGATTATTAAGGGTAAAATATGAATTGAATGTTTAAATTTTGTGCATTGGTTAAGTTAGAGGTCAAAAGAGGACATAGAATGTAAAAAAAAACGTTTATAAAAAACCAGTGGTACCGTGACAGCTTCAAGCGGGTCCTCGTACTCGGGGCAGTCGTTGATATCACAATCCGGGTCCGCCAGCTCCGGAGGACCTTTCTCTATCTTCACCTCTGGCTTCTCATCTACTACTGTAAAACATACTTAAATAAGAATACACAATAGTTAAGCTTAAGGGACAGATCTACAAGTCCATAAGACCTGTCGTATTGTATGGATCTGAATGTTGGGCCACCAAAGTTGCGGATGAAAGAAGATTGCATGTGGCTGAGATGCGTATGTTAAGATGGATGTGTGGTGTGACAAGAATGGATAAAGTTAAGAATGTGTATATAAGAGGAAGTTTGAAAGTAGCGTCATTGGTGGAGAAATTGAGAAGCTAAAGGTTAGCGTGGCATGGACATGTTATGCGACGAAACAATGGAGACATAAACCAGAAAGTGTTAAGAATGGATGGCTACAAAGGAAATGGAAAACCGAAAAAAGTTTGGATGGATTGTGTGAACGAGGATATGCTTAAGAAAAGAGTGGATTCAGATATGGCTGATAGAGATGTATGAAAGAGCAGCACATACTGTGCCGACCCTCCGTAAGGGATAAAAGCAAGTGGATGATGATGACACAATAGTTTTACGTATTCGATATTTTAAAGTTTACTACAATACAGAATTTAATAAAAGAAAAATATTTTCGTATGAATTAGTTCTACTTTTAGAGGAAAACATTGGATTTTGGTGACTTTCGATTTAAAAACTATGACGTCACAATATGGCGCTGGTTCATCGCCAATAATAATTAAACATACTATATGTTTACAAATTTAATTTAAGAGCGAACAAAATCAATAAAACAAACAACAGTACTCTATTTGTTTTTAACTAACTTAAAAAAGAGAGTTCGCAATACTTCCATATAATTTACTAGCTTTCGCCCGCGACTCCGCCCGCGTGGAATTAAAAAAAAAAACAAAAGTGAATAGCCTATGTGTTCTTTAAGACTATCCTCTACATCTATGCCAAATTTCATCGAAATCCGTTAGCCGTTTGGGCTACAAACTGTAACAAACATCCATCCATCCATCTAAACTTTCGCATTTATAATATTAGTATGATATGATAAATACTTGTATAAGCCAATCCTTGGTCAATCAAAAGATGATTGAGGAAGGTTCCGGTAGGCAACATCTTCACAAACACCCCCAAAGCTTCCGATGAACTGAAAAAAAAATTTGAAATTCATAAGATTTACATAACATTAAAATATTCACATTAAATCGACAATGAAAACCCAACTTAATACTTACTTATCGTCAACAATAATGATGCAATGTTTGTTGACAAACTGTTTGAGTACATTCTCCAATTTATCTATGTACTCCTTTTCATTGCAACCCAAGAATTCAATCTGTGTAAAGTGAAAATTAACTTCTTAACACATATCCAAAATAACTTAAATTAGGCATAGTAATAGACTCCAAGTACTAAATCAACATATACACTCTTTAATTAGCATGTTGTTAATAGAGACAGCTTCTTTGGCACTAATTATGCCTTTGTCCATTTACTAAAATATTCCACAACAGCCACCCTGTTAATTTTTTCTATAATCAGACTTCGGAAATGGACCCGCAAAGTCAAAAACAATTACAGTAGAACCTCGATAACTTAAAAACCTCTATAACTTCAGAAAATAATATGTCCCCTTCCTATCAGAGCCCAAAACCTCTATAACATAGACCTTTGATAACTTAAAACCTCTATAACTTAAAATATTTTGTGTTTCTCTTGGACTTTAACTTATCAAGGTTCTACTGTATTTTTAAAAGGAGCACCAATATTGTATTCAGTTATGACCATAATCAATATTTGACCTTGGACTGATTTTATTAGTTTGATATGTATATTGAAATACTAGCTATTGGTTGCGACTTCGTTTACATGAAATTTAAAAATATAGCCTATACCTCAGCGATATGTAGGTTTCTAATAGTGAAAGAATGTTTGAAATCAGCCCGGTCGTTTTTTGAGTTATTACAATACATACAAAATTACAGGATTATTAATTTTTATACTAATTCCTACAAAATAAATAAATGATTTGGTATAGACATTGAATTCTAAAATGGACTTTGTTTGTACTCACTCCCGCTAGATAGCAGCACCGTGCAAATGGTGGGTAGTTGCAGAATTTGAGCGGCAGCGGCTGCACATTCACCAGCGAGGAGACCAGAACCTCACCAGTGTCCACCAAAAATACTTCCACATAGTTCGCGTTAGACTCCTAACAAGATAACATAACATAAGTTAATTGTTGACAGAAAATTAAGGACGGGGCTCTTATATCTATTGCTTGGAGTTTACAGTGTGGAAGGGTTTTTTTATTAGACTACATTACTAAAAGATGGTAAAAACAATAAAACATATAATAGTATTATACTTTTCAAATATCTTGGACACTCGAAACATGTTATGTGAAGAACAGTGGTCGTAATTATTAAAAAAAATGAATATTTTAAGAATGAACATGAAAATCTTAAGAGATATAACTTTTTTCGTAGGTTTGATCGAAATAATAGACCCTTAATTTAGATACATTTATGATCGATCTATAAATGTTGTTAATTTTTTACTAATATAAATGTGAAAGCTTAGATTGATGGATATTTTACTACATATTTCTAGAACAGATCAATAAATCTTACTAAAATTTGGCACAGATGTAGAAGATAGTCTGGAAGTATACAAATGCTACTTTACAGTATGTTTGGTAAATCAGTGTTTATGTTTTAGATATAACTTAAAACTTACCTCATTAAGTCTAATGAAGAGTCCCCGGAAGAACTTGTCTCTCTTGTGGTCATAGCAGGCACAATATGTTAGTGATTTCACTTCATTAGGTGTCAGCTCCATGAAGTTTGTCTTGTAATATTCACTCATTTCAAGTAATAAGCTGTAATAAAGTTATTATTAAAATTATATGTAAGTTTGAAATACAGTCAACCAACCCGCACTGGGCCAGCGTGGTTGACTATGGCCTAGTCACCCATATTAGGGTAGGCTCCGAGCACCTATAGTGAGCTGGTGATGGATGGATGGATTGAAATACAACTGCCCTTCCGAGAGTCTAAAATCTTACTAATATTAAAAATGCACAAGTTTACTTAAGGGTTGTTTGTTACAGTTAGGCTAAACTGTAAAC